TTCGGGAATCTGTCAACCAGCAGCGGGAGCTTTACCTGCGGGACTTCAGCAGTGACGGGTGAGTTATCCTCACTATACTAAGGGGTCTAAGGCACCAAGGCCGGCCCATTGGATATGTTATCCTAGCAGTGTTAGATGTTGAGTATGAGTTAGTGTTTCATGCTAGTGGTTACGCCAGTTAGGTAGACCTGTAGGACTACCTGTGATGTTATATGATTATTGCATGCTCAGTGGTTATGTTATGTGTTTGTTATATGGGATGGGTTGAGGTTGTACTGTTTCGTGCGGTAGCCAACAATCCCTAGGAGCATTCCAGTTACGGCTAAGGGAGACTCGTACTGTGGGCTCGGGAGCATTCCAGTTACGGGCTGAGGGAGACTCGTACTGTGGGCTCGTGGGTATTACAGTCTGTAGGGCTATGGACCCGTTATGTGCTGTTCTGTTCAGTTTGTTATGTTATGATGTTGCTGACATGGTTATGTGGACTGTATGTGTATCGGTATTTTGGGGATAACTCAATAAGCTTTCGGGCTTACAATTTCAGTTTATTGTTTCAGGTACATCAGGTGATCGTGGCAAGGCAAAGGCGTGATCGTACAGCTCCTTACTTTTTATGACTATGTTTCTGGGATACTCTGATGTTATGCATTTTGAAAACAAGTTTGTAATAACTAATGGTTTTTGGGTTGTTTAAAAAGTTTTAAATTGGCTTGAATTTTTGGGTGTTACACTTCAAAAGTTGATGGTTTGTTAAGCAAAAATTTTCATCTCAACCATTTTTTATTATATAGTCTGAACATGCAAAAAATCATATAGCAAGGAAATTAATGAATATAACAAACTCCAGTTCCAAAAAATCAACAAAGTAAAAAATCTGATGGACTTACCAGAGGGAGAACCCTCATATAGCTCACATTTTCATCTTATTAAACTTTCATAAATAAGTTAAAACTTTCACTTAGGCATTCTATCCAACAGTTGGGGTGTGTAAACTCGAGTTCAAGATCATTTTGTTCAGACTCTATACAGAAACCATCAAAACACAATTCATAGATTCATAATAAGTCCCCCAAATATCCATTAATGAATATAAATATAAATATTTAATCTTTTTTTTATGCATCATGAAGAATTCATAAGGAAAAACCCTGACCTTTTTCTAATTTATGCATTTCTGATTTGATTATATGACCTCTTGATTTTAAGTAACACCTTGATCAATCCAACCATCCATGATCACTATAATGCAAACACATGAATCATTGCAACACCAATACTAAATTTTAAACAGATGAAGATTAAAAGTAGGAATCAAAATCCAGATCGAGTTTGCAAATCAAAACTCAACTGGGCGAAAGTATCAAATATCCCCTTTATTAATGTTGCACCAAAATTCTGACATATCTTTACAAAGATTTCAAAAAAAAAGTTTATCTTTGTGAATAACTAGTGTAAAAGAGCCTAAATTTAGAGACGGAAATGAGAAACCTCTTTTATGATTATGCTATCTAACAACATATCCTTAGTAAGCATCATGAGGCCACTCAATGCATTTAGGGGATAAAAAGATTTGAATGAATCATCATCAAAACCAAATAAATGAGTGAGAAACCTTGACCAAATTTCAGTTTGTACTTTTCCAAAAGAATACATATTAGAACTAATGGGTTTTCTAGGTTACATTACACTTAATTGCACAACAGAAACATCATAAAATCTAATTATGAGCACATGCAAACTGGAGATATATGTCTTTTCTCATTATAGCAACATATTATTGAAACAATCACAAAACCCTAGCCTAGATGGATATTAGTAGAATGAAATACATACATTTAGTGTTACAATCATATGTAGCACTCTTGAATCCTCATATATGCTTCAGAAAGCTAAGACCAAAATTATTACTACCTCTAATGGTTCACACCCAAACCCTAGAACACTAGAACAAACTTGAGGATAGAGGAGGGAGAGGGAATTTACGGCTTTAGCTTCATAAGTGAATAGTGGCAAAAAAAATGCTAGCCCTAAGGGTCTTATTTGTAGCTGCTATGATACCAGGATAAACCCTAATTTGAATATTACAATATTCATATTTAATCAAATATCCCTATCAGGTAAAGGAGGGTTCCAAAACCCTTCTAGAGGAGCCTCAAAACCGTCCACCTAAGTAAGGTTCTGGAACCTCTCATTTGCTCGATTATTGAACAATTGCAGTCCAACCCTTGTACCTCTAATCAATACTAATTAATCTAAAATTAATTTCCAATTAATTCTCATTAACTCTAAATTAATTCTAATCAATTTCTAATTAATATTTTAATCATATAATAAATTAATAAATCATTTCCTCTCTTTACTAATATCATTCCTAGCTATTTCTGGTTTTGAGGGCAACCTAAAAATGACTTTTCTTTTATTCATAAGATTATACCAATTTAGTTAAGACCTTAGACACCTTAATCCAACAATTAAAACATTAAAGTTTTGGTTGACTTAATTAGAATTATACTTAGTGTACTTTTGAGTTGCGCACCACCCCCAATGCTTTCTTTCCCTAATGAAATAGAAAGAACTCTTGCATCACTGATTGGGTCTGATAACGAATTCAGTTATTAACTAAAAAGAATTCAATCATCATGGAGGTATCGAAAGAACTGGACCGAGATTGTAGGTTTTTTAACCAAGTTACAAGTAGACGTGTTTGAAAGAATTGAGCCAAGATGGGTCTTGAAAAACAAATCTACATAAATTAATCACACAATTAAAATGGAAGAATCACAAAATATTCAACAATTTGAACATATGTATGAAAGATTATTCTTTTGATCTAATATAGTAGGTGCTTCGTGATATAGGCGGTACTGTTAACGAAAGTTAACTGATTTCTAGCTATCATGGAATCGTGTGGTGCAATTCTTGAAGAAACTAATTACAGAGAGTGGAGTCGTGGCAATTGGATGGATACATGAAAAAGGGGGAGTTGCTAATCGCAATGGAGTCATCGGTTATGCAGTTAATCACCGGTTGTAGGAGCCAAGAAACCGTAAATAGGTACTTATAATGGTCGAGACTAAAAGTTGAAAAAAATAAAAGGTTATGGTTCTTCCATCGGTTTTCATTGGCTGTTGTTAATAATATATATAATTTTAAATCCTTTCTTTTTTCTTAACCAAATAATGCATTTGGGTGGATTTTAAATCCATGTCCCTCAAAGTACAAAGGACCCCTTCGATCCAAGCTCTCTTTTAGTAAACAAGCATCAATTTTTTTAAATGTCTTAAACCTTGTTGACTACATATAATGTTAAATTTTAATATGATAATTAAACAATTTGATAAGTAATGGCATTGAATTTCAAATATTGCATTGAAATAATCTAACACCATACGTAACATCCAACTTTTCAACCCAAAATTTTCGTTTGTATTTATTAAAATATATAGGAGTATAATTACATTATGCGGAAACATGTTGTAAATGCGCGTGTGTACAGTCGAACCTGGCCCTTCTCACGAATCAATGAAGTAGCTGAAAAACATTTATATTCAACTGGGTAAGCATGAAGCTTAGTGAGTTCCCAAAATACCATATACCACAAAACATATATCGGGCCCCGACCAATAACCTGCTCAAAAAGCATATAAATGGTCCCCACCCAAACTACATAATGGCTCCCATCCAATATACTTAACGGGCCCCAGCCGATGGCGGACCCCTCCCAGCATACATAATCATATTACACATATAGGGACTACACTTTTAGGCTTTACTAATATAGGCACATAGAGGATATGCTTTCTAATGCACCTTCGGGTTCGCCGTCCATAGATTATAAGAACCGTTGTTCCATTGTTGATATGGATAACCTAGAGAAAACAAACAAACTCATAAGTTGATTAACTGGGAGGGGTCCCGATCCAACGCTTTGATGGTAAAGTCAGAAAAGGTTTATTTACAATAATGGCGATCTATTGAATAGTGAGGGAACGAAAGTATTTGGGATATAATCTATTGATAATGATCAGATCAAAAGTGCGTACCTTGTAGAGTGTTCTTCGTTCTTTATTTATAATCGATATTGAGAGGTCAAAGCCTCTTCCTATACCGAGCAGGTCTGGCACCATGTCGAATTAATGGTCGTACCCCCGAAGGTATACTCATGTGTACTACTTAGTCGTTTAACAGTTGTGGTTCGTTGGTTTAAGGACCCATCAGTTAAACATCCTTATACAGGCTATTTTATGTGAGTTCCTATGTACTGTTACACTGTCATGACGTATTTTCGTACTTTGTTCATTATTTCATATGGTTTGGCACATGATTGGTTTAGTGGATAACTTTGTTCGGTATATACCTGGTTCGATATGTGACTGGTCCGGTACATACCTGGTTCGGTATATACCTAGTTCGGTATGTAAGAAGGATATACATAGCTTTGATCTTGGTTATATCCTATTAAGTCCACTCAGTTTGGATTGTTACTTTTCATTTAGAGTAACAATTCAAACTTTTTAAAGTAATCGTTGGGGCCAGATAAGAACGGACACCTGGATTAAATGTTCACATGATAGTCTGATAGCCTGTAGGTTTCATCATTGCCTACATTTAACGGCTATTTCATCCGTTCCTGTGAGCGGTTTCTATTTGATCTCCTTATAAATAACTTCCCCTGCCTAGTTATTTTATCATCTTCTACAACTTTCCTCTTCCAATTTTATTTTCTCTTCTTTGTCTTGATTCATCATGGCTAACAAAGAAGTGTTGAGCATTTGTACCATAAAGTCTAGGCTTTCTCAGAAAACTCTTATTGATATTGTGAAGAAGTATCATATCGACCCTGAGCGTCGTCCTTGTCTTCTTGAACCCTTGATTAGTATCACCTTCACATCGCTCAAATTACCCCAAACGGTTTTCGTAAAATTATTTTCTTTGCAATGTTATGTTATGCGTTCGAGATCTTGCCTTCTATAACTCTTTTCTATCATTTTTACATCCCTATGTCGAATGACGATTGGGTATCCTTTTCTCTTCGCCATGGCTTAGTAGAAACCTGTGATGCCCTTCTTACTTCCATAAAGTATTGGAAGGAGGAATTCTTTTTTGTTTCTTCTACCGCTTTTGATGGGCCTATGGTGTATGGTGCTACTGCTGATAGAACTGCATACCCTTCTTCTGATCTGGCTCCCGAAGAACAGAGTACTATGAATCTTTTATTAGAGAATTTTGTGAAATGGACTGATGCCGAAGAAATAATGCTAGGGGTGGCGAGTATGAGTTCCTACTGGAAATTTTTTGGAAGGAAGCCTATGGAAACCCTAGCATGTCATGAAGTTACTTTGTTAGAACAGTTGCATCGCAAACACTTGGCGAGCTATGCGTTGGTTACCGAGGAAGCCACCATTCCTAATTCTCCTTCTCAATTGGAGTCTAGTATGGATTCCATGATGCATATTACTGGTCAGGATATGAACTTGCCCGTTATTCCTTCCCCTTCTAAGAAATATTGTGAAAACATAATCAGACAGTAGGAAACTCCCTCCATCATCTATTAGAACCGCGTTAAGATCAAATAGGAAAGTGGTTAGGGAAAAAGTTGTTTCCCTTTAGGGATTTATGAACCGTCTTGATAAAGTGATTGAATTATCATCATCGAAGCGCAATAGGACCACTCATGGGGGTGAATCAAAATTTTGTGGGCTTCTATTATCTGGTGGTTATTCTTCTTTTTAAGAACCTACATCTGAATCGACTACGACGACTGCTCTTTATGAGTGTTCGATGGTTACCGATCCTGATCTGAAGCATGGCATGGAAAATGTTCCTTCTGCTGAGGTTGAGTTTTTGAGTTCTGATGCTTCTACATTTTCGACCTCAAAAAGCCATAAATTTACATAATTTGTTATTATGTCATATAAGGATCAAACCTCGCCTGCTCCGACTACTACGATTGTCTTTCAACAAAAGCTTTTTAGCACTGGTGCTAGTCTATTTCAAGTTTCTAGTGTGGAATCAACAGTCATCACTGTAAATCCTCCCTTGGTTGGTTTAGTCCTTCCTTCAAGTTCGGATTTGATTTCTATGGAAACGTCTGACATGACTCCTGACTTTGGGAATGATGCTTTGTTGGAAGTCGCTGCTATAACTCTACCAAACACTTTGCAGCAGATTGGTATGTTTCCTTTAATCTTTTCTGATTTTATATGCATCTTGTTCGTTATTCCTTTACGACAATATTTATTGTATTTGTTTTAGTGTTGCCTTCTTCCCAGAAGGACCTTACTATACCTACTCTTGTATCACTTGCTGCATCGCTTCCCTATTTCCAACGTTCTTTTATTGAGACTTCCGTACCTACAAGTCCTAAAATCGAAAATACATCAGATGAGGAGATCCTTGATAGATCTCATACATGTCTGATGGAAAGGATGTATTTTCTCGATGAAGTTTCAGCCTGCACTCAGACACGTGCACAAATTCTTGCCTTGAAACTTTGAATTTTGAGCACTATAACACTCCTATGGTGCACATGCAACCCTAAATGCTTTGGATCTATGTTTTCTCTAATTATACATGCATTTTGAATTTTCCAAAGAATTCTCCGTAGCTAGCATACAATTGAAGCTATATAATATAAACTTAGTTTGGATGCTTACCTCTTGAGTAGGGTAGAGTTCTTGACCTTTGAAAGCTTGAGCACCTCAAGTGTGATGCCTCTATTGGTTCACAAACACCAAAATGCAAGAGGAGGTTTTAGGAGAATAAGACACTTGACTCCAAAGAGTGTGTAGCCGATTTTGGCTTATCGGGGCACTATTTATAATGTGGCAAACACTCGGGTTACACTTTGTAAACCCTAATGCTCCATGACTTTTCATATTTTTATGATCCATGGGTTAACCTCAATGGACTATCCATGTATTATCTTATTGGTTTAGCCCAACCATATAGTCATGGATCATTAGTCCACATACAAGAATCATTGATTTACATAATCAATCCCCATATATTTAATTAGTCTCTTTTGATCACAAAATTAATTCCAAATTAATTCTTGATCAATACCAATCAAATAATATTAATATATTATACTTGTAATATATTTATAAATCACAAATAACCTTATTCTCAAAAATCCTTCCTATCAAATTGCACTGGTGAAGGCAACCCAAAAAGGGACCATGCTACAATCCGGACAAGTACATACCAGTTATAGTTATGGGCTTAGACACCAAATCCAACAGTCTCCCACTTGGATAAGTCTAATAACTATTACTGCTAATGCACTTCAGGATCTGACTTAGAAATCGTAAGCTTTCAAAAGCCTTTGTCAACTCTGACCCAGTCAGTGACGCATCCTTTAGATAAGGGATCATATACTCCTCTGTTCTCAAGATATCAGCTAGACAAATACATGGAACAATGTCATACTTATTGTCCTGCAGTTTGTTTCCCAATTTATGATTCGTCTGACATAGAACATAACTGAACACATCAATTTAGTTCTGACCAGGCCCGATACATAAGTCAAAACAAAATCATCGAGGAGCCTAAGATATCGCTTTTATTCCTCCTAGGATAAAAGAGAACAGATAAACTTCGATATTATACGCTTGTACTAACTACTCATCAAATCATGCACAACGACACGTTTTATAACATCAAGTTACTGATGCGTTTTCATGCCATCAATGTACAACCGACTCGTAGTCAACAACTCATATATCTTGGTTTGAAGACTATATGATATTATCATCTCACAATTACTCGTGATAAATTCCATGAAGTAATTCAGGTAAGCGCGGGTTGATCCAATACTCAAATCTTATTTCAGAAGTACTCATGAGTGGTGTAGCAAACTGTTGTTATGCCTAACTCCTTAGACAATCTACAAGCCAACTCATGGCAGTCTTCTTTCATATTTACTTCCAACGTATGATCGACTGTGGATAGTTTGAATAATAATAATAATAATAATAATAATAAATATAATAATAATAAAATAATAATAATAATAATAATAATAATA